AAAACTTTTTAAAATGAAACTTCTGTAATTGTAATTGTATTTGTAATTGTATTTGTAATTGTATTGTGTGCGTGCGTGCGTGCGTGCGTGTGTGTGTGTGTGTGTGTGTGTGTGTGTGCGTGTGTGTGTATGTAAGTATGATGTGTGTGTATATATATATTTTTTTCATGCGACTCGCACGCGCGAACGCGTGTATGTGTGTACACATATTACCTTGCATTTTCTTGATGACACTTTCCAATAAGAATCCTTCACAATAAGGATCCTTTCCAATAAGATTGCAATGTCCTTTTCCTATCAGGTTTTCGATAAGATCAAGACTCAATTAAATGCAAAGTAAAAATTACAATTTTTTAATAGATTTTTTCCAAATTTTTTGGTACAAGATTGACCATCATATTAACTAATTTTATTGATTTTTCACGTGTGTTTTTCTTACTTTAGTTCCACAGATAACGAATTTTTCGGCAACAGATTTGGAATTGGACTTATTAAAAGAATTTGAGGCCAATATTGCAGCAGAAGACATTGAATCCCAAGGATTAGTTTATATTGCGGGATACGTTGCGCATAGATATCGCCATCAATATCCTCAATTGGGTAGTGCAACCAAACTGGCGATAAACTGCAACGATTGGCTCTCGTTTATTTCACGAGAGAACTGCATTCGTCCTTCTGCAGATTTTTTAAAATTTGCAGAAATTATGAACAAAGAATTTATGATATTTCACGGCGACTTTTTAAGTAAAGAAAACAAAATTTTTGATAAGTTAACCCATATTGTACTCGTGAAAACAAATAATAGTTTTCCAAAAGAGGTTGTTGCATGCTTGGTGCGTACACGAACATATATACGCTTACGAAAATTAAATAAAGATATAAAAATTAATAATTTAAGTAAAAAACGCACTCAAAAAGCTAAAAAAATTTGCAACATAGTACTATAAGGTTTTGTTTATTTATATTTTATTAACAGTTTATTATGTTCGATTTTGTTGATATATCCATTTATTATGTTCGATTTTGTTGATATATCTATTTATTATGTTCGATTTTGTTGATATATCCATTTATTATGTTCGATTTTGTTAATATATCCATTTATTATATTCGATTTTGTTGATATATCAATTTATTGATACAATTCTTTTCATCTGGCAAAACTGTTCTTATTTATTAAAACCATTTTATTTTGAATTCCCGCCTTTATTTTTGGTCATTTCTGATTGGTTCTCTGTCCATAATACCGCCATTATGCGCAATGCTTCACCTTGTATCTTTACACCATGAGTCCGACTCTCGACTCTTGTCGTGTTAAGACGTGTGTAGTACGCAGAGTGATATACGTATATATAAAGATTAGAGTGCGAATAGACAAAGTGTTATTACTACCTGCCCATCCCGACACACACCAGCGAGTGTTCCGAGCGATATATTACTATAATTACTACCTGTCTTAAATAAAAATTATACGTTTTTGTACGGCTGACATTCAACGCAATCCTAAGTCCCTGATATGGCTGAAGTCCGACTTCGTGTCTGCGTATCGTGTATGATCTGTGTTAAATCAATGTCAAAATCGATTAATGAACCGATATTGTTACAAAAATTAATAAGAGTCTGTATCAAAACCGCAAATTTTTTGTCATAAATATTATTACTAACATATATCAGCAATTTTGCTGATGACACAAGCGTTTAATTTAATAAATATTTTTGCATGGCAACAAGACGGCTACAGTTGCTAGCAAATGGATTGCACTGGATTGCTTTGCTTTTACTCAAAATAATATCTGGGCTGTTAACGTTATCCGAGAGGCGTCATGTGTTACATAATTAGTGCGGGCCAGAGCGATATAAAATATCTTCTTCATGAGAAATGCGGAAACATACGTGTCCTTGTTATAAATTCTCCTAAATATGAGTGTGAGATAAAAATGTTGTACAATTAATTATATATAAAATATGTATGTTCATATATATATAAATTTTTCCTTGTATAATCTGTTTATACAAAAACGTAAAAATAAAAAAAGAATTAAAAAGTAATTAAAAGAATAATTTTTGTGTTACTCTTTTGACAAAAAGAAAGACCTTTGACGAAATGAGGAAAAATTGCACATTATACATATTATATGTACATATAAAAGTAATAATTGTGTGTATATATAAAATGGTTATGTATGATTATATCTGGAATATTGTATAATCTAATCACAATTTTTTTATTTTGTACACCTTTGTAAGAAGAATGCTTTGGAGAAGGAGGGCGTTCACGAGCTATCGTACAAATTATTTAAATCAACAGGATGAGAAAGATCTATCTCCGGCCTTCGACTTATCAATTCGATATGTTTGCGCATTCTAGAGTCTTTCCGCCCAAGTAATATAAAAGAGTAAGCCGCTGCCAAATAATTTCATATCGCAGCAGAGAACGTTAGGATACATTTGGTGTACGGCAGCATTGAAATTTAAATCGGTTGACGTTATTCCCGACATGAGGCAACTCATTCTTCTGTACGTATTACTTACATATCAACTGTAATTACATCAGTTGTAATAATATAATTGCAAATTACAACAAATGTTATATATTACATACAATATGTATGTCATAATATAATATAAATTATAATTATTATATACATATTAATTAGGATTGGGAAGTAACTCGTTACTCGTAACGAAGTTACAATTACAGTTACTTTTTTGATAATTCTAACTTAACTTCGTTACTTTCTCTCCATCTATAACTTAACTCAGTTACATTTTTTCGATAGCCAGCAACTAATTTAACAGTTACATTAATAGTTACTTGCATTTGTGCATAAACGCCTTTATCGACACTTTACAATTCAAATGCAGATTTGATATTTTTGTTTTTATTGCAAGAAATTAACTGCAAAGTAACGATTCATTACTTTTTGAGTAACTGCAACTGTAACGCGTTACTTTTCACAATTGGTAGCTTGTAACTAGTTAGATTTTAGCGGAAAAATTGTAAATGTAACTAAATTCTTTTATAAAGCAGCTTTCCCAACCCTGATATTAATATATGTATAAATTAATATTCTTTCTTACAGCACCTTTGTCGGCACGTTTTTAACGAGAGTTACGGTATCAAAAGTCCATGGATGTCCCTTGAATTTGGATTGGTTATTCGATTTAAATAAATTAAACGATAATGAGGAAGGAAAGCGAACTGTATACGAGTCCGAAGAATGCAAGAAAATGGGTATTTGCATTTTATTCGACAACTAGACTCGCTCTGAAAATCAAATCATTAATCTCTATCACTCCTTTTTTTTTACTTTTCTCAGCTAAACTGATACTAGGAGGCATGGATAGATCCGTCGATCCATGTAACGACTTTTACGAGTACGCGTGCGGAAAATGGTCGGAACATAATCCTATTCCAGAAGGATCATCAAGATGGAATATGTTGAAGCTTCAAATTCACACTTTAGTGCAAGTACAAGGTGAACCGTTTATATGCACGTTGTGTTAGCGATTCTCGCTAGGAGAGTTCGCTGGTTACCGCTGCGGATGGAAGCAGGGTGAGAGGACTTTGCGGTGAGAGGCTCAAGGAACGAATGCACGCGTGAGAGGGTGAAATATCACGTGATCGTAACTCGGATCGTTTGAGTAAAATATCGTGTCACAGTTTAATAAATGGAATATGCTTACAGTTGAGCAGTCTATGAGATAACGGGAATGAGAAGTCTTTTAATCACTTGCACGGGTCGATATTACTGATCGAGAGCCGGCCTCGTGAATGTAGATCCCCGTGAGCCGTGTCCACGCGGCGTCGGCGTGCGATGCGTGGTGAGCTTGAGCTGCCGTTGATGCTGTATCTTTGGTCCTGGATGATTCGCACTGCTGAGTGTTCACTCTTTGTCCGCACTGAGTCAGGTCTCGGATGAGAAGAGTCCACAAGAGCACTCTAAAAGTCTTAAGCACTACACGACGCGTGTACTAGGTACCGTAGCTATGAGCCAAAAAGCGCCGGTAACGAACGTGAAGAAGCGCCGTCGCCTCGTGTCGCGATCGGGCATGCGCGCGCAGCGCTCCTGCGGCGCTGCACGATCCGACCCGGCTGATGCTGCCATCACGCCGGTGACGAACTAACCGAGATTCAGAAATGAATCTCGAACACGTTGCTATCCAAAAGATTCAAAATTCGAGTTTTGCCGAACATATCCTAAAATTATTAAATTCTTCACAGAGATTGTGAAAGCCAAACCCGCGGAGGACGATCTCAATACGGTGAAGCTTGCGAAAAAGTGGTACAACGCTTGCATAGATACAGGTGAGTGCGCTTGTACTAATTAAAGTGTTAAATAAAAAATATGTAGATTTCATACATTCGCATTACACAACGTATCCTAACAGTAATAGCATTATTCGTATAATCTTTAAACCTCTATAAAATGCATTGACATTATCCTCTAATATATTTCGATAATAACTTATACTTTGCGATATCCTTCAAACATTCTCGGAGTCTACATGTGCTGGTAGAGAAATAATTCGCCAATGTGTACAGACGCGATGGAAAAGCAAGGAATCGACCCGCTGGTTTCTACCCTAACGCGTTTAGGTGGCTGGCCGATGATAATGGAGCCCGAACAGTGGGACGAACAAGAACACAGCTGGCAAAGAGTGGACGATCATTATATGCGCTTGCCGGGAAGAAATGACTTTCATGATGTGCGCATACAGGAAGATGATTCGAAAGTTGTAGAGGTATTTATTGTGATAGATTCAGTCGGCTTTAAATCCGATTTATTACAAAGAATACAAACGGGCTTTTCAAGAGACAAGTAATTTTATTTGACGAGAACTGGCCATAATTTAGTTAGAAAATATTTATTGCGAAAAATATTAAATGCATTAAGTCTGAATTTATCTTAAGTTTTCTTTACTTTAAAAAAGAAGTGCGTAAACAAACGGACAGGACTGCGTGGACATATATCGCTCTCGACTTGTAATATCTGGATTGTAAGCTTCCAGTTATATTCTTTGCCGTTACTCGTTGCAGGTTACAATAATTTAAGTCTAAAACATCCACATAGGTATTCTATCAGAAAATTTTTTTCACTATCAAATCTGTACATGTAGATTGATACGCCGCATTTACCACCAGGTTCAAAAGCACTGCGAGGTGTGGTCGAAACTGATAGCGCAGAAAAGAGTGAAGAAGAAAACTACGCAAAAAAAGGGGAGATAGCAAAAGCGATGAAGACCCGAGCGACGAGGAGGAGCAAAGCGAAGAGAAACCTGGAAGCGAAGGCGAAGATAAGTCGAAAATTGTTGATGATGTTGATATCGACGATAATGAAGATGATGATGATGATACGAACAAGGGTGAAGGCATAAAGAAAATAATAGTCAAGAAGAAAGTCAGCAAGATCGGTCATGGAAGAAATAAAAAGTTACGGCATGTTAGACAGAGTAAGACCCAGAAACATGATAGCGATAAGGCGAAAAGACGGAGAATAAAAAGATACGCGGTAGCAGAAGTTGACAGTAAACGCGCGCAGCGATTTAGTCGTCGCGAGAAGTTACACACCCGGAAAGGCGAAAGGAGCCACGTAAGAAGAGTACGTAGGAAAGGAGCAAAGGAAATTTTGGAGAACGGGGAAACTGTACACACAACGGCGGTACCGAAGGATAGCGCGGAAGAAACGAATGTAGACAAAAACGAAAGAGCATTGCTGCGAATGTACGCTGATTACATTTCGAAAGTGGCTCGTATTATGGCTAAAGAGGCAGGCACTGAAATTTCACAAGAGCGTCTCGATATTCAAGATATGATCGAGTTCCAACTGAAATTGATCGAGATGAATATCGTGTTGTCTCACTTTCTAAAAAATAAGAAAAGAAGCTTTTCACAATTCAATAATTAACGTTCCAGACGTTCCCGTCGGACTCGATCGATACTCAATGCAATATTCGATACGAAAGACTTTACGCTGGGAAATTTTCAAGACTGGTACAACAAAAAGAATCCTGAAACAGCTCAAAGCAAGGTAAGGAACTTTTTTCAATCAATTAATTCAGTTCAATTTTATAGTATATATATAGTATATATAGTATATATATAGTATATATATAGTACATTATTCTTGCTTTCGTGTACATAAGAAAAATAATAAGAATTATTTTCCGGCTATAGATTGACTGGGTGAACAAAATAAAGGCATTATTCGACGAGGCGAACGAGCCCGTGGATAGCGATTTAAGTGTCGTCATCTCGTCGAGTTACATTCAAAATCTTCTCTCCTTGTTGGACGAGACGTCGAATCAAACCATCGGTAAGTTTCAGCAGTGGATCAATCATAGTACGAAATGTAATAGTCGTTAGTACACACGTGTTAATAAGATATACTTTTCAGTGAATTATACATATACACTGGAATTTTATAAGCAAAGCAATAAAGACTACCACGAGTGAAATGAGAACGTTGTACGATTCCTGGGAGAAGGCTAGCAAGAGTAGAAATCCGTGGTTTGATATATTTTTATAGAACTAACATCCTTATATTATATAATTCGTCATTTGTTGAAAAATGATGTATACATTGAACCCCTATTTTTGTGTAAATAAATTGTAGAACGAAAAGTGCAGATAATTTTTGACTCACCCTCGTATTTACAAGTGCGGCGATGCACTTTGGATATTTACAATTTGGATGGATATTTATAAATTAATTTAACCAATAGGAAAGGAAAAAGAATTACAAAAGCAGAGAAGGAAGTAGCATTAGAACTAATAACAAATTTCCTAAAAAAAGACCCGTACGCGTCAAAAACGGAGGTGTACGACAAACTAACAAAATGTTATAAAATACCAGCGAGTCCAAGGGCGGTCGCATATTGGGTAGATGAAGTTAGGAAAAGGTAAGTTCGAAAATTTCAATATTCTTAAATCGCGCTGTATATATGCGCAGGTCGGAAAATAATAAAATTAAATTGTTTACAGCGTACCTCATACACCGACCTACACTGCAGGAGGTTCTTCATTGGAGAATCCTGCCAAACCTCAGCTTGCAGGGTGCTTGCAAGTTGGACCGATTCATAGTAATTATACACTCTTAAACGTTTTATTTTATTTTAACGTGCACCTCGAATTTGGCGGTAATAATAAAATTAAATTGTTTACAGCGTACCTCATACACCGGCCTACACTGCAGGAGGTTCTTCATTGGAGAATCCTGCCAAACCTCAGCTTGCAGGGTGCACGGGCTTACACTGCAGGAGGTTCTACAGTTGAGAAACCCGTCGAACCTGAGCCAGTTACTAATCCGGTTGAATCTCTAAGCGAACAGCCGACAGAAACAGAGTGCGTTACTGCAGAAGAATTACTAAACCACACGGAAAGTGATATTGAAAGGTTCCCTCAAAATTTAGACACACAAACGCCCCTGAGCACGGTGCAGAGCGCTGCGCGAAACGCTCACGCGCACCGACACCCGCGGTCGACACGCGCTAACGGCGTGACAACGGACACCGTTGAATTTTCGGCGAACGATTAGAGAGCCGGACACTCTTTGTCGGGACCTGCTCGGAGTGAGACCGAAGCAAGTCTGAGTCGTCGAACTTATTTTTGTGTTCAAGTTTAGTGTAACAAGTTTATTAAATACATTAGTTCTTTTCCATCAAATAAACTGCTGACCCGATCTTATTCAACCCGGACATCCTATATCCAGGTATCGAGAAAGATAGTAAATCTTGATACCCGAATAAGACCTACAATATGTTCTATTTTTCAAAAAGGAAATAAAAGTGGACTGGATACGGGAGAGGAGGCAGTAAAGAGGGATCTTTACGAGACGCGGCACTTCCGAGGCTCGGGTCTCAAAGGGAAGAAATAGACAGGGCCCACCTGACATCCTCCAACGTAATTCTGCGCAAGCATAGCTTCCCTGCCGCGGGCATTTCCCCGGGCGATCGCTAGAAAACGATCGGAACGATGCGTCATCGTCCTGTCACGTTTTTGACATCATTACATTTTGGATGGATATTTATAAATTAATTTAACCAATAGGAAAGGAAAAAGAATTACAAAAGCAGAGAAGGAAGTAGCATTAGAACTAATAACAAATTTCCTAAAAAAAGACCCGTACGCGTCAAAAACGGAGGTGTACGACAAACTAACAAAATGTTATAAAATACCAGCGAGTCCAAGGGCGGTCGCATATTGGGTAGATGAAGTTAGGAAAAGGTAAGTTCGAAAATTTCAATATTCTTAAATCGCGCTGTATATATGCGCAGGTCGGAAAATAATAAAATTAAATTGTTTACAGCGTACCTCATACACCGGCCTACACTGCAGGAGGTTCTTCATTGGAGAATCCTGCCAAAACATTTCCGTGAAAAACACTGCGAGATACTTCCCGTGGAAGTATCGCAGCGGAACCTCGTTGGCAGCTTGCACGTGTCGCGAGCCGCTAGCGACACCTAGGACGCTACTCACTTCACCCTGCAACATGGACGTAAGAATATATGGACGGAGCGTAATGTAGGATTTAGGACGAGGGGACCCAAGCGAGCGCGGTGAGGGGAAATTGGGTGGCGGCCATATGTGATGACTAGCAGAGATCGCACGGTCGCATAGGGAGGGGATGACGCACACAAGCGAGAGACCGTGTCCGTGTGCGCACAGACACGGTCGCTCGGACAGCACTGCCTCGTGGTAGCGTCGCCGCCATATGTGATGACTACTTTTCCCCTCACTGCTCTGGCTCGGCCCCCGCTAACTTACACTCCGTCCATATATTCTTACGTCCATGCCCTGCAACTACTGGGTGTAGAGAAAAACCTGAGAGCGGCCACCGCAAGTCTACAAGCTCACAGAAACAGACGCGCCCCCTGACAAATAACGGTACATACACAAGCTGTGGTTCATGTTCATGTCCAAGCTTCTCAGATGCATATGAGATAAACAAGTAAATCAATCTATTGTTCTAAATAATACAAAGTCAGAACGATTAAAGTAACAATTAGAGCCAATTTCACGAACGTTGGTTAACCGTTAACGAGAGTTCAGTCAACTTCCCATCTTTTTCCATCTTGTTCTCCAAGATCTCAAATGAAACAAAGACTTGCTGACAGCAAAATGCGTACCACTTGAACGTATAATTATTTTATATTTAAATTTTATGCCGTAATATAAATCTCAATCGAATCTTTTTTTCTATAGAGCTGTTAATTTTGGAATTATTGGATTTATCATGGCTCGATCACGAAGTTAATCATGGATTTGACGTTACAGGTGCATTAGAAGTGTAAACTATTGAACTACCTACACCCTGCTCGGACCGTACTGGCTACCTTATTTTTAAATATTAACAATTATTGTTATAATATAATGATTTATTATTTAACGTTTTGTGAGAACATTTGGCAAAGCGGGAAAATAATGAAATAATTTTTAGGACACATGTTTGATCAGGACGGTGATTTCTTGGGATGGTTTTCATCAATGGCCAACGCATATGACAAAAAGGAGGACTGTTTTGTCGCGCAGTTTAATTTAGAGATTAAACGAACTTACCAAGTGAAGTTTAATCATAATTATGCCGGGGGTCTCGTCCGGATGAATAATAACGTAGTCGTGCCTTGGCACGACTACGTTATTATTCATCCGGACGAGACCCCCGTCATAATAATTATTCTATTGATGCAAAAGCAAATAAAAAGATACAGGTATATTGCTCGTTGCTTATCTTCAAATTATCTTAATTTTTCCTAAGATTTATTTCGTCAGTTTTATACTTACTTTATATTTACTTATTTTTTTTATCAAATCATCTTTATTTTACTGAAGCCTTACTGATCATTTTTACTGATTGAACTTACAGCGTTATGGCGAGCAGACGATAAGCGACAATATCGCGGACACAATGGGATTACAAGCGATTTATAAAGCTTATCAATGCAAGGAGAAAGAGAGTGAAACACCAGATGCCACGATGCCGGGCATGGAAGATTTTACAAACGATCAACTGTTCTTTTTATCCTTTGCCAACGTGAGTGTTGCAGGCATTAAGAGAGCTATAATTCTAACTTATGATGATAACTAATGATATTTGTTGTGTTAAAAACTCATTTGTTTGTCGCACATATGCGTACTCCTAGACTCACGGAAATAAGACTCGGCTGCGGGAAAGAATTAGTTTATTCGACGACGTGTACGAAAGATGCTCTTTAATTATAAAATAATTAAAATAAAATCGTTTACAGTTGTGGTGCGAATCGATCAAACCAAGTAAATTGATGGATCGCGCTAAGAAAGACAACAGCGTCGGGCGACTGAGAATTATAGGCTCCATATCAAATTCGGATGACTTTGCCAGAGCTTACAGTTGCCCGGTTGGCAGTCCGATGAATCCCGAAAAGAAGTGCAACATCTGGACGTGATCCAAAAGAATCATGCAAAGGATCTTTCATAGGAGCAACTCACAGAAATTGTTTATATACTGCCGAATAAAGCAACATGCATGTATTATATAAACTTTCTTTAACGATTCTTTAAATGTTTAAGTCCATATTACCACCCCCTTCCTCTACTGTATTCAGTTCTTCTTTGCATTTTACGTGCATTATGTTTTCCTCTAGTTTATATATATATATTTTTTAGTATAGACGAAGAAGACACTGGAAGAGAATCCTCATTTGATGTAATATCGTAAACAAAAAGAAACATGCGAGCTCACATTGCAAATGTTGTCAGTACAGTAACTTTGCAACAACAATTGTGATAAAAATGTATGATTGTAGCAATATATTTTGACAACATTGCAGCAACTTTGCCAATATTTTTGCAATAGTATTAATAACATATATACAGGGTGTCAGACTCGTTAGTAGCCAAATTAAAAAATACGATAAATTCGGTTAAACGAGAAAAAAAGTCATGTAACGTTTTGCAAAATTAGCCATAGTTATCGCGTGATTGATAAAAACGTCTGGCCGAATGAGTGCACAAGGAGCGGAAAGCTGGACCCGGCAGGCATGCAAAATGGTTTATTTGCTTACCGTCAATCTGATTGTATTTTGTCACCACACATCACACACCGCGTGTGCGTGTGCGTGGTGTGTAGTGTATGGTGTATGGTGATAAAATACAATCAGATTGACATCGATTGGAAACGATTACTAGATTATATGTTAATATTATAAAAAATGATACAACATTTATAAAAAATGTCTGACGACAAATCGGACATTTATGAACAACGCGATAGAATTATATAGACTTTTTCTTATCTAATTCTATCGAATCTTTTAAGCAGGGTTTACAGTTAGGGGAGACCGGGGCGAAGTCGTCATCGGGGCGAAGTCGTCACTATAGTTATCTCGAAATCTATATGTCATATAAATTTGTTGTTAATATTATAAACGCTATTTATGATGTCTACGTAATCAACGAAGTTTAGTAAAATTATATATCATGTTATGATTTTTATTACAACAAACGTATTTTCAGAAGTCAAAAGTGAATTTTTTTCCGCATCGAAAGTTTTTAATATTTTAAATATTATTGTTTCTTAAAATCTCGAGATAAGTTATTCTAAAGAGTAATGCATGCTGAACACGAATCTAGTGAAGTTTTTTCAGTTTTCTTTATTTATAATATTTTATAAGCGACTAAACTTGAAATCTGTGTCCGGGGTGAAGTCGTCATCAAGCCACCGGGGTGAAGTCGTCGGTGACGACTGAAATCGACTACTGCCACTGCGTCGAGAAAGAGAGGCCGGCCCCCCAAAAAATGTCACGCAATTATGTTACGTCCTGTGGACTCCACCATTTCTCTCTTTCAAAAAACTATAAGAAACATGTTTTTCTTCCCTTGGAAACTACAATTTTAGAAATCAGCGGATATCGACTAGTCAACGCATGAGTCCCCTCCCCACAAAAAATTGATTGCCAGAGTTTCACTTTTCGAAACTCGAAACGTAAAGTGCCCTGATTGATGCTGATTGATAGCCGTTGAAATAATAAAAAGGGGAGAAAAACAGACAGGATGGGATCAGGCCCTTTCAGACGGCAGTTTCGAAATCCAGATTTCCCAAATATGACCCAAAAATGAAACTCGGGATTTTTCGAAAGTCGCTGAAGGAAATGATGCCCATAAATAAATATCAAAGGGCGACAACGACTTAATGGTCGGGTTGCCAATAAGAAAGACAACTCCTTGACACCTCCCAATAGTCCACCAATGAAGAACCAAAATCCAAAATCTCCTTCCACGTCCCATGACCAAGATCCACCCCCGAAAAACTGTATATAAACCCGGAGCCTGCTGGCTCAGTCTCTTTGGCTGTTCTCGACTCCACTAGTGCAGTTATCTCCGTACCTCGCGATTTCAATTCGATTTAACTCAGTTACTACTCCGTGCAACTAAAAACTGTGCGCGATTTCGGCCGACGGACCACCAATCTGAGCCAGCCGCCTTCAAAAGATTTACCAGACGCAATCCACCATCGATCTCAATCAGTAGTAAGTCACACTTTTTCTTTTCCTTTCATTTTGTTTCGGCTCGACGACCTCCTTCCCCCTATTATTTTTTTATTTTTTATTCTGAGGGACCTTCGCTAGATTTCAACTATCTCGTCCATCCTCTTGCGAACTAACTCCAAAAATATCCACTCACTAAAAATTCGTTTTGTGTCCCTGGATTCTGCTTTAGCGTGAATCCGACACGATTCGAAGATTTCCATCCTACGAGAATTCGTTTTGTGCCCCTGGATTCCGCTTTAGCGTGAATCCGACACGATTCGAAGATTTCCATCCTACGAGAATTCGTTTTGTGCCCCTGGATTCCGCTTTAGCG